TCTCTGTCTCTGTCTCTGTCTCTGTCTCTCTCGCTCTCTCTCTCTCTCTCTCATTATTATGTGTAGCTCAAGCTGGCCTTAAATTTGCTATGTAGCTGAGACTAACCTTGAATTCCTGATCCTCCAGACTCCATGTACTAAGTGTTGGGATCACAGAAGAGTGCCACCACACCCAGTCAAGGAAAAAGACTTTTAGAAGGAGTAACAGGATACTAAAGAGACTTTTAAGCTGGGCGTGATGGTGATGCACACCTTTAATCCCAGCACAGCACTCCAGAGGCAGAGGCAGGTGGATCTCTGTGAGTTCAAGGCCAACCTGGTCTATATAGTGAGTTCCAGGCCAGCTGGGGCTACTGGGAGACCCTGTCTCAAAAAGACCAAAACCAATGCACCAAACAAACAAACAAAACAAAACAAAACAACAACAACCAGGGGACTTTTAATACCACTCAGAAAGATCAATAGATATGAAGCAGATGAGAGTTGCAGATTCCTGTTAGTGGGACTATTTCCTTTGATATCAATCCCTCCCAATAGTCCAGTGGCATTCAATACTAGTAGACAGATGAAGTCCAGGGTTCATTGGTAGGGACCTGGGAGATATTCCCAACGTAAGCTACTGGTTACTGGATTACATATGAGTCAGTGTGTAACTTCAGTCACAACCTGCCTATCATTGCAAAGTAAATTCACTCTACATGTTTCAAATTATGTGTCAAAATTTCACATAGGTGAAGTTCAACTTCAGTGGGGTTGGGGGATGGGGAATACTTTGACTTTTTGAAAGCAATGTCAGTATAACACATACATAGAAAAGTCAGTGCACAAACCATAAGTATACTGTTCAATGCTTTTCACATAGTGAATGTGCCCATACAAAAGCAGAAACACAAGCACAGGTACACACGCAGACACAGACACACAGACACACACAGACACACAGACACACACAGACACACAGACACACACAGACACACAAACACACACAGACATACACACACAGACACACAGACACACACACACACACACACACAAATTACCAGAATTACTAGTTTTTTAAAAATTTTCCTGGTGTTCCTCTTCAGCATCTTCCCACAAAGGTACACACATCCCAACATCTCTTCCATTGATTAATTTTGCTTGTTTTTGATCCTTATACAACTGAAAGAATTTAGTATATACTTTCTGGCTTTTGATTAGCAATGAATTTAAAATAGCCATCTGTGGCCAGGTATGATAGCACATGCCTTTAATCTTAGCACTCAGGAGGCAGAGACAGGCTGATCTCTGTGAGATGAGGCCAGCCTTGGTCCACATAGCAAGTTCCAGGCCAGCTGATGCTACAGAGAGACCCGGACTAAAAAACAAAGCAAAACAGAACAATCCATCTATGTTGCTGTGGTTGTTGGTTCTGATTTCTTTATAGTGTTTCACTGAATGACTATCCCATAGTTTACCCATTCTAGTCATGATGGAAATTATGAATTCAGGGCTGGAGAGATGGCTCAGTAGTTAAGAACAGTGGCTTCTCTTTCAGAGGACTAAGGTTCAATTCCCAGCACCCACATGGCAGATAACAATCATAAGTAACTCCAGTTTCAGGAGATCTGACATCCTCTTTTGATCTCCTTGGGTTTTGCATGACACATACGTGTAGGCAATACACATACACACAAAATAAAAATAAATAAAATATTAAAAAGAAATTATGAATGTGTGAGCTGTTTCATTGAGACTACTATCAGTACTGCTTCTATGCATATCTATTGCAGCAGAATTCAGGGTTAGTGATGCTGTTTGGGGCATAAGAGTACCAAGTCTTGAGGTTGGAGAAAGGGCTCGGTGGTTAAGAGCACTAGATGCTTTTGCAAAGGACCTGGGTTCAGTTCCCAGCATTGATATGGCAGCTCACAACCATCCATAACTCCAGTTTCAGGGGATCTGACATCCTCTTCTAGCTTCTGTGGGCACTGCATACATGTAGTGCACTTATGTACATGCAGACAAAACATTCCTATACATAAAATAAAGATAAATAAAATATTATAAAAGACTTCCAAGTCTTCTGTATGATCTTTGTTCCTGAAAATGGCAAATTCAAGTGTATTTGGGGCCACATTGTCAGAGAAATAAATATGTAGGCTCTCAAAGAAATTGCTGAGAATGGAAAAGTAATTGCCTCTTGCTAAATTACATTTACTCTAGGACTATGGAAAATGACCTCGGAGCAGGAGATGCTATGATGAACAGAAATGGGAAACAACTTATGCTCAAGAGGGTTTTTTTTTTTAAAAAAAAACATGTAACTTTGCTATCTTAAGCTCACTTCAGGGTGGTCCCTAGTGCTAGGCTTAATTCTCACCAGCACACTCTAATGCTTACCAAGGAAAATTGTTAAGGCTAGATTTTATGAAATCTCATTATTAGGTTTAGAAACATAATTCCTTAATGGTTGTAAATAACTACTCCAATCTACAGAACTCAGCCTCCACATAGAAAAGGAAAGCTCATTTATAAACCATGTTAAAAAAAGCCTGCCAGGGTCCGAAAAATCCCAAAGGTCACGATAACATACCATTCCATGAGTGGAAAGAGAGCATAGCTATTTGATATTTGTGATCATGGTCTGTCTGAATGAAAGAGAAACATGGTTGAATTAATTTATTTTTGCACTTTTAATTAATTAATTAAAATTTGGAAGCTCTTTTTGAGACAGGGTGTCCCCACCAGCTGGCCTGCAACTGGCTATGTAGACCAGGCTGGCCTCGACCTCACAGAGATTTGTCTATGTCTCTCTTCTGAGTGCTGGGATTAAAGGTGTGGACCACTCCACCTGGCTAATTTTATTTTATTTTTTTAAAAACAGGGTTTCATGTAGCCCAGGATGGCCTCAAACTATGTAACCAAGGATGACCTTGAACTTCTGATTCTCCTGTCTCCACTTACAAAGTGCTGGGATTACAGTTGTGTGTCTGGTTTGGTGAGCTACAGGGATCAAACCCAGGGCTTCATGCATGCTAGGCAAATATTCTACCAATTGAGCCATATCTTCAGCCTCTGTTGGTACTTTTAAGATATTTACCTAGTCTAGGCTGGGTGTGGTGGCACATGCCTTTAATCCTAGCACTAGGGAGGCAGAGGCAGGCGGAAGGCCAGCCTGTTCTACATAGAGAGTTCCAGGACAACTGGTGCTTCAGGGAAACTCTGTCTCAAAAAAAGTTATTTTTGTAGTCTAATCCTTAGAGTGCTTCAGACTTGTCGAAAGACTTAATTTCACTTAAAACCCATGTACTGGGGTTTGGAAGCTCAGTGGTAGAGCACTTGCTCAGCATGTGGGAGGACCTCAGTTCTGTCTCCATCATGGCAAAAACAAACACTCCATCCCCCAAAATCAATGTGTTCAGAGAAATTGATCAACATTCAGTAAAAGCCAGTTTTTAAAAATTTATTATTTTTATTTAAATATGTTAAAGCTGTAATGAAATGCTTCTTCTAATCATGTCATCATTAAATAAATAAAAAAATTATTATTTGTATTTTTCTGTGTATGAGTGTATTGCTTGCATGTATGTAAGTGCACCCATGTTGTGCAATGCCTGTGGAGGTCAGAAGAGGGCATCGGATTCCCCTGGAACTGGAGTTATGGAAGGAAGGTTGTTATTCGCCATGTGGGTAATAGGAATAGAATCTGGGTCCTCTGTAAAAGCAGCCAATGCTCTTAACCACTAAGCCATCTCTCCAGCCCCCAAAGTCAGTTTTTAAAGTAGAAATGTGCCTAGCCACTATCTTTGCTCCTGTTCCTTCTTTGGGTGGAACTATCAGAGCCAGTCTAATCATATTCCATCGTCTACAAGAGCATTTATATGAAATGATGCTAAGTAGTCATTATCTAATTCATCCTTGAAAATTTCCAAAACCTCTTTAAGTGTTCTAAGAAGCAAGACTATTTGACTCAAAGCAAATAACCACTTTTAAAGCAGAGGTTCAAACTATAAGAGGTTCCAAAACTGATACTTCTCCCTCAAAATGTAGCATGACTTCCCTACGTTTGTTTATTTTGCAGAACTCCAATCATGTAAGTGCTATCTTATGGTCTGACTGAAATAGAATTTAAATAGCAATCCTGGGAAAAGTAAATTTTAGGAAGGATTAGTTGCCTTCACTCAAAGAAAGTGAGCTGGCCCTGTATCAAAGGTGAAAGTGTTATTTGCAATGCTAGGGACTGGTAAGGAGCCAATGTTCATATCTAGGGCCCTTTTTTTGATACAGGGTTTTACTATGCAGCCCTGGTTGGTCTGGAACTTACTATGTAGACCAGGCTGGCCTTGAACTTACGGAGATCAGCCTGCTTCTGCATCCTGAGTGCTGGGATTAAATGTACTACCACATCTGGCTCTATCCAATCTTTCTAACTGTCATCCTCCCATTGAATAAATTCCAGAAATCTATGAGTCTGATGGTAGGAGGTGAATCTGTATGAGTATCTTGTACTTTTTGCACAAAAGTATTGACAAGTTTTGGTTTGTACTCTTTTCAAGAATATTTGTATACTGTACAGACTTCAAGACTCTAGAGAGGATCTTCCTTCTGGAAGACAGATAATTTTTTTTGACGAGGCCTCAAGTAGCCCAGGCTATCATCAAACATGCTATGTACCTAAGTATGACTTTAAACTTCCGCCCTTCCTGCCTCTCATGTCCTGAGTGCTAGGATTACAGGGAGGCACCACCACTCCTCTTTTATACTGTGCTGAGAATTGAATGCAGGGTTTTGTTCAAGGCAGGAAGCACTCTACCAACCGAGTCACCCCAGTTCATTTTAAAGAATTTTTAAGAATATAAAGTATTTCCATAGAAGAAAGAACAAAAATTACATTTTCCAGAATAACACATAATCATACACGCATAGAATCATCAACGTTATTTTTTCTTATGACACAAGGTGATTAAGTGAATATGATTGCAAAGAACTTAAATATACAAGATTGGTGATAGAAGATCAAGCTGATTCACTTAGGCAGTCTATGTTTAATGTCACAGTTTCCAAGAAGTGTCATAAAAGCTACGCAAATAAACATTTATCTATACTTTTTTTTTGCTATTATTCTAGAAAAGTTCATCAATTCATATAGAAAGACCAGATATATTGGGTGGGGGAAGATGAGTTGGCATTTCCACATTTTGTAATATAATATGGAAAATTCAGAAATGAAGGAGAAGGCACAGTGGTGTATATTTAAAGCAAACCTTGGTACATTTGATATGAGAGGAATCTTACGGCAGATAATACTTGTTGGGTTATTACAACTTTTTAGCTTGTATTTCTAAATTGATGATACAATATCAAAAGACAGAGAATTGACATAAAAAGCCACATATAAAGATATAAAGGAGGATAGTGACATTCAACCCTCCACAGATAAAAGGCCATCTGGACACAGGCCTGACACAAGCAAGACGCCGTCCACTGCAATTTCACCAGTTACGCCCTTCCCACGTTCTGCTTCAAAGATGACCTATTGATGGAGAGAGAATAAAAGGTTACTTCAAAACAATGACATAATCAAACTATTTAACAGCTATTAGCAAGGACTAAATTCATGTCTCTATTGCATAGAAGTTGGTGTTCACATTGACTATATTGAAACATGTTGATTGTACAATAAAGTGTTTCCTACATGCCAAGTGTTTACACCTGGGGTTCTCTTCAGAGAAGACAGGATCATAGCAAAATCTAAAGGATGTTGAAACATCCTGTAAAGCTGAGAAGGGAAATTTTGGAATTTCCATTTAAAGAAATAAAATGAAAACAATGAAAAACTTTAATTTGATTTAATTAAAAAATTTAAGACTAGGTTTCATGTAGCTTAGGCTGACCTCCAGCTCACTATAGAGCTAAGGCTGACCTTGAATTTCTGACTCTCCTGCCTCATTCCCAAAATGCTGGAATTACAGATGCATATCAACACATCCAGTTCAAAATATAGCTTTTAAAATAAATACATTTAAATAAATAAATAAATAAGCAAAAGTATGACAAGTAAATGAAAAAATGTTGAATTTAATGTCTGACACCAGGGACTAAGGTTTCTGGTTAGATACCTATTGCCAAGAAATAAAATTTTACTCTAATTAAGCATCATCTTTAAAAAATATTTTATTATTATTGTATGTGTATGATGTACGTGCTGGATGGCTTTAGTTGTCAACTTGACACACCTGGGTAGAGGGAACCTCAATTGGGGAATTTCCTCCATTGGATTGGTCTGCGGCTATGTCTGTGGGGCATCTTCTTGATTATTGAGTGATGTGGGAGGGCCCTGCCCTCTGTGGGTGGTGTCATCCCTGGGCCGATGGGCCTATGTTGTATAAGAAAGCAGGTTCGGGGCTGGAGAGACTGCTCAGTGGTTAGGAACACTGGTTGTTCTTGCAGAAGATCCGGGTTCGAATCCAAGCACCCACATGGCAGCTAACAACTGTCCGTAACTCCAGTCCCAGGGGATCCGACAGCCTCTTCTAACCTCCGTGGATATTACATGACACAGGTGTACTTACCTACATGCAGGCAACACACGAATATACATAAAATTTAAAAAATTAAAAATTTTTAACAAGTTAAAAAAAAACAAAAAACAAAGTAGTTGAGCAGGGGCCAGGGGAGCAAGCCAGTAAGCAGCTTTCATCCATGGCCTGCGCTTCAGCTCCTGCCTCCAGGTTCCTGCCCCTGAGTTCCTACCTTGGGTTCCCTCAGTGATGAGCTGTGACCCGAGAGATGTAAGTTGAATAAACCCTTTCCTCCCCAAGTTGGTATTGGTCAGCGTGTTTTGTCACAGCAATGAAGAAACAAACTAGAACAATGTGTCTGTGAGTATGGGCTTGTGCATGTCATGGCATTCGTGTGGAGCTCAGAGGATAACTTTGTGGAGCTGGTGCTCTCCTTCCACTGTGGGATCTGGGAATTGATGTCAGGTAGTCAGGTTTGCATGTTAAACATTTATATACACTGGGCCATCTCACTTTTTATAAGAAAAGTATATATAGAATTTCGATTCCCGGAACTACTAATTATTTTTCCTTTGAACATCTCTTCATGTATCTCCTATCTTTTCTTTCTCACCTTGACCAAACGTTTTATCAGGCACAGAAGGTCTATCTGCAGTCTCTGTTCCTTTCCCTCCTCATTCTTTATTTATGAGACAGTGTCTCATCTATCCCAGACTGGCCTTCAACTTTCTATATAGCCAAGGATGACCTTGAACTGCTGATCATTCTCTACCTCTGAGTTCAGTACCATGCCTGGTTTATGTGGTGTTGGGGGCTGAACCCAGGGCTTCAAGCACGCTAGCAAGCACTCTACCATCTGAACTTTATTTTCAACTCCCCACTTTGTTCTTCTATCATGTTGGATTTTAACTTTTCCCTCTAAAGAAGCCACCCCTGTCAAGACCTACAGCTACCTTTTCATTACCAAACTAAGCAAACCCTTCAGCATTTTATGCTGTGTTCTCAAACACATTGACCAACTTCCTCTTAAAACTCTGTTTTCTTTTCCTTTATTAAAACCACTTCTGCAGTAAAAGATTAACTCATCAGGTCTGAGTTGTCCAAAACCTGTACATTGCAAAGAAAATTTTTTTCTTGATTGTTTACTGGGCGATAACCTCTAAACCCTTGGAATATCCTAACAGGTTAAGAGTGTTTGTTTCCCTGAGACCTTGGGTCAAGGTTTATGATAAGAATGGGATTTATGATAGGGTCTTGGGTTATGTGGTATCAACTTAGCTTCTAGAAATTCCGGAGATTGAATAACTCAGGTCAGTCATGCCAGCAGTCATGACAGCAGATTGGCTCATAGAAAAAACTGGGGGTGGTGGTGCTGGGGAGATAGCTCAGTCAGTAAAATGATTGCCTTGCTACCTGGAACTGAGTTCAATCCCGAGAACTCATGTAAAAAAGCCATGTATAGTGGTGCACACTTACAATCCCAGCAATGGGGATGCAGAGGCAGGTGGATCCCTGGGGTTTGCTTGTCAGCTAGGCTAGCCTACTTGGTGAGTTCCAGACCAGTGACAGACCCTGTTTGAAGAAAACAAAGTGGACTGTCCTCAGGCCTCTACATGTACATGCACACATCTGCATGATCACACACACACACACACACACACACACACACACAACTTTGGACATCAAGGCCTGGATGAGCTTCCTGGTGGGCAATACTTTCAGTCTTGCCCTGGTTGCTGGGAGAATTAAGAGCTGCCTGTGAGTCTATTGGGGAGAGGAAAAGCATAAGCTTCTTCCTGGTTCTTCTGTGCATAGACCCTTTTTTCTCTTTGCTGATTTTAATGCAAAAAACCTGTAAACTTAACAGTTTTGTGAGTTCTATTCTATGAGCACCTCTACAGAACCACTGAACTTGAGGGTGGTCTTGGAGAGCTCCACCCCTTGCCAACAATAGTCACCTTCAGTTCAGTTAAAACACCATTATAACCATCATCTAAGCTGGGCGTGGTGGTGCAGGCCTGTAGTCCCAGCACTTGGGAGGCAGAAGCAGGTTGATCTTTGTGAGTTCAAGGCAAGCCTGGTCTACATAGTGAGTTCCAGGACAGCTGGGGCTACAAGGAGACCCTATCTAAAAAAGACCAGAAAACAAAACAAAAAACCCAAAACCACATCATCTACTGGCTGCCATTTATTGTGCTAAGCTCTGTACATAGAATGAAAGAGAAACTTTTTTGCTCACTTGTTTGTTTTTACATATTAAAGAATGTATAGCTTGGTTTAGGAGGAAGTTGGTAGGTGCCAGACACATGGACAAGCCACTTTCATTGAAGGTCATATAAACTGCTTAATGACTTCACATTTTAGTCTTGCCCCTACACATGAACTTGGAGGATGTTGACCACAAACTAGTATTAACTCCTTAAGCTCCTTGAAGTTCCTTTCCTAAATACTACAGTCTCTATTACCCAAGCACACCACAGACTGATAGAAGGTAAATGTTAACATATAAATCAAGCTCTCTTTATTATTACTCTTCTCGGCCTCTATTTTACAATTCTCTAAGCATCAGAATACTTTGAAACCTTTTTACCATCTCTGATGGTATTTATGGGTCAACCTACTTTATAGCTACTGGATTCTATCAGTCAGGCTGATGAATCACCTTGCCTGTTTTGATCCAAAATGTAAGGGAAAAAAATCTTTCCTATCTTTTCATCCTGGGACCTATGTACTACTGTAAATAGTTTATTGTGTTTGTTGAATCACTGAAACAAATGTAAATATCTAATTTCTTCCTCACTTACACTTTTGATAGTATCAGTTCCTTGGTACAATTGAATTTTTCCCGTCTTCCACCTTTCATCCTTGTTCTTGGTCTCTTCCCATGCCAGGGCATTGTTACTGTTTTTCACAAACACTCGAAGTTTCCCTACTTTGTCTCCAGCTAGCCGGTAATCAAAGAGCAAGCAGAAGTTGCTTTGGGGTGTCAGGTCTGGGAGGAGAAGTTTCAATCGGCCAATATCCTTCTTGTGTCCTGCCAGTACTGGAACTGCCATATAATAACCAACAGCTTTAAGGGAACAAAATGACACCATTAGTGAGGCTTCGAAAAAGGATTTGACTACAATACATAAAATAGCTAGAAAATTGAACAGCAGTTTGAACAGAATTTTCAAGCAAAAATGAATCTAAAAAATATTTAATTCTTAGTTATGTGTATATATGTGTCTGTGTGTAGGTATATACACATGCAGTACCCATGGAGGTCAGAGGCCTTGGAACCCCTGTAGCTGGAGTCCCAGGTGATTGTGAGCCACCTAAGGTGGGTGATGGGAACTGAACTGTGGTTGCCTGCAAGAGCAGTACAAGCTCTTAACTGCCGAGGCAGCGCTCCAGTTCAACAAAATGGATCTTATGGAGTAGAGAGTTGAAATCCTTTCCTATACAGAGAAGGAAGTTAAGGGTGAGAACATTGAGGACTTTCACACATTCAAAAGGTTGGTAGCAGCAAATAGGGGTTAAGAATGGTTACTTAGCACTGTAAGAGTTCCAGAACTTCATTTTCTCCTGGATTGCTTAAATCTTGGAATATATATCCCCACTGAATCAAGGACTGATGTGTTAGCTACTTATTGCTGTGACAAAATATTCTGACTAAAGCAATTTAAGGAAAGAAGGGTTTATCTGGGGCCGCTGTTCAAGGATACAGTCCATCATGGTGGGGGAGTCATTATGGCAGGACTTTGAGGCAGCTGGTCACATTGCATCTACAGTCAGGAAGCAGGGAGTGATGAATGCTCATGCTCAGCTCTTTTTTTTTTAATTTAGCTTGGGACTTCAGTCCAGGGAATGGTGCTGCCCACATACTTCGTACATCTTTACACCTCAGTTAACCTCCTCTGGATAATAATCCGTCATAGACATGACTAGAGACTTGTCTCCTTGGTGATCCTAGATCCTGTCAAATTGATACTATTAAGTATCACAGGTATGATGGCCAGTTCCTTAGGTGGGTCCAGAGAGAAATGTTTAATTTACAGCATACCTGACCTTGTCCTAATGGTTTCATGAAGCTCAACCACCATGTGTAACGTATCACTGAGTTCTGATGAAGGATCACTAGACTATATCTCCTATGCTTTCAAATGTTCTAAGTATCTCATAACTTGTAGTAATGGACTTTTTGTACATCTCTGCTTTTCTAGTTGTAACTTTCCTGAGTTTAAGGAAGTCATACACAACAGTCTTAAAAAGTTAATAAGAAGGAAGAATTCCTATACAATCCAGGAAGAAGACTTTCGAGATGGGGTGCAGTTTTCTAGTGCAACCCCTGGAGACACTTGTAGGGGCCCAGCTATCGCCCTAGTTCTCAGTGGATCCAGAGGCTGTCAGGTTCTCTTTCTCTTGTTGGGTCACTAGATTCAGTAAGTAAAAATCCAGAAGGCCCAGTGGAACTTTAATCACAGAGAACATGTTTAAGACATTCTAGGAAGTATTTTTCGAAATGAAGGCATCCTGTTCTTTATCCAATAGCTATCAGCTGCACTCTTTTCTGTGACCTCTTTGAGCCCAGCTAAAGCCCACTTTCAGCTTTCTTTGAGAATTTATTTGTCTAATACTACTGTTTCATCCCATATTTCTCCTCTATATTTAGCTCCGTAGGGAAAGACAAACCCTCCTAGAGACCCGATAGAACTACAAAAAGGGAGAAGTTATGATGTGAGTGACACAGAAGCTGAGAACCCCAGGGTCATGTGCGAATTGGGTGTTTGCAAATAGGAGACTTCGCATTGACAGGAAAAATGCAGTGTTAGACACTGCTGATTATGTGAGCTGTCCATCCTGTGGTCCCCGTGTGGTATAGCTCAGGAAGCATCAATTTAGAGATCTCATGATGGAAGACAAGAGAAACTCAGGCTAATCATCAAGATAGTTTCTCCAAAGATGTATTATCTGTGGGTTAAAATTATCTTCTGCCCTTGAATCGTCAGTGATAGTCCTAATAGAACAACTTCTGTGTGAGATGTATTCCCTCTATCCCGATTGCAAGTTCTAAGAGGAATTCTTGGTAGGGCATATTGAAGTTTTCTGATTGAAGGTGAGGCCTTATAAGAAAATATCTCAGGAAGGAATTTGTCCCAAGGAAGGATCTTAAAAGGAAGATCTTTTAAATGAAGCCTGAGTCTGTCCATCCCCAAAGAAATAATTCTACGGGTCCAGAAGTATAACAGTTCTTCCTAGTTGTACAACCAGCCTTCAGGGAGTAGAATTTAATACGAGCTCCAAATAGTATCTGCAAGCCAAATCTTCTACCTAAGGGAAGTCAGGGCCCATCAATAGTGCTGAAGCAGACACCAGAAAAAGCAGGAAATCCATTGCTCAGCATTAATGTTGAGAAAAATCCAAGGCCAGGTAACCAGAAAGAAATTCTCAGTCAACTCAAAGGAAAGCTGAGTCCTGGAGTTCAGGTCATTAACTTCATAAACATCATGATTTGGTCCTTTGAGAGGCGACTCTGTATAGCATCAATTTAGAGAGAGGTTCTATCTGGGTGTGGTGGCACATGCCTTTAATCCCAGCACTTGACAGGCAGAGGCAGGTGGATCTTCATGAGTTAGAAGCAAGCCTGGTCTACATAGCAAGTTTCAGACCAGCTGGGGTTACAGGGAGACCCTGTCTCAAAAAGACAAGAAACAAAACAAAACAAAACAAAGATAGTAGAGAGAGACTCATTTTTCTTTCAAGATTTATTTCCTACCAAACACCACAAAAATGAATGAAAACTAAAGTACTGTGGCTGGCAAACTGAGAAAAAGAATCTCTCTCTCTCTCTCTCTCTCTCTCTCTCTCTCTCTCTCTCCCTATCTCCCTCCTTCAGAAATAGGAGCATAACTATAGAAGAGGTGTTTTGGAATACATTTTCTCAGTCAGGTGGGTGAGAGAGGGATTAGGAGGAAAATACAAGCTACACCAAGTTACTCTTCCATCAGATGCCACCTCAAAAGGTCAAAGGATTCCAAAGATGGCCTAAGGAATAGCAACCCTCTGTCATTAGAGAGCCTTCTTTATCTTTCCTAGAACATGAAACAGTGAAATTTACATACCATTATTTCGATCAGCAGGATTCCAGTCAAAATCATCTTCTCCGTCTTGTTTCCAATCACAGGCTCCATGATCAAAGCTGCAGTCAACTGACATATTTAAGTCTGCGGAAAAAGTATATTTTGTAACCATTGAAGAACATTATAGAAGTAGCTGACATTTGGAGCGTTGGAAGGCAATGCCATGGCTTGCTTTATTTCTGTAGGGTATGAATCATGGAAATTGAAATGCTTGTAGGGAGGATTTCAAACCAGATACCCTATTTTGAGTTACATCTGTAAAGCCATTCTCAACAAATTATGTTGCAATTGTAAAAAACAAAACTGATCTTGAGCCAGCAGCTTTCCTGGGTAAGTTTGGCTGCACCCACTGCACCTTGACTCCCCCAGCCTCATTCACGCTCCCAGCTCCACCATCCCATCTCTCCTAGCAGGGGCACTGGCACATTTCATGTCTCAACACCCCAGACCTCTGGACTGACCTCTTGGCCCAAACTCCCCACTGCTTCCTGATCCTTTGCATCTAGACCAACCCAATCCCTCCCTCTAGTCCCTGGGAGTCCTCGGGGCCTCTTCCTGTCCCCACCTCCCTTTGCATCTCTTGGAAGCCCAGCCCCCAGCTTCCTGGGGCCACCAGCTTTCCTGGACCCCAGTTTCGGGGGGCCAGCATCTTTCCTGGAGGGATCCAGTCCTTAGGAGAAAGCCTGAGAGCATCTGATCCTCATCCGACTTGGGCCTCTGTGGGAACTCCTGAGCAGGAACATGAAATCAATTTGGCCCCTCCAATATAAAATCAAAAGAGAGAACCTGAAGCCTAGATCAACCAGCTTTTTATGCCCAACAAGTAAACCACAAAGGCACACAAAGTTTACAAAAAGAAGCAGACCTAAACTCAACAAAGGAAAGTTTGGGTCTCATACAAGAATCAGAAACTACAAAAGAAATCCACATGTCAAAGTCACAGCAAAAAAATAATAACTTGAAAGACCCAAATAATATATCCCCACCAAGTACCAACAGTCCTGTAGAGGAGTACAGTGAGAACATCCTAGAGATAACACAGGACATGGAATTCAAAAGAACAGTTATAAACATGGTATAATAATTCAGTGAATTTAAAGAACACACAAAGAAATCAAAGAACTGAAAGGAGATATGGACAAACTTCTGAATGAATTCAGAAAAGAGTTAGAAATATTGAAGAATAATCAGGCTGAAATGAAGAAGGAAGTGAAATGCTCAATAAGCCAATTAGAAACAACAGGAGAAAGTCTCACCAATAGGATGAATAAAATAGAAAACAGAATATCAAGACTGGAAGATAAAGTGGATAAACTAGACCACCTAAGCACAGATTATGAAAAATGTAAGAAAACACAAGAATGGAATATGCAGGAATTGTGTGACACCATAAAAAGACCAAACTTATGAATCATAGGCATACAGGAAGGAGAAGAATCTCAGGAGAACAATATGGACCAGAACTTCAACAGGATTGTAGAAGAAAATTTCCCCAAATTAATGAAAGACATGCCCATACAAATACAAGAAGCATATACAACACCAAATAGACAGGACCAGAAAAGAAACTCTCCATGGCACATCATAGAAAAACACTACATGTACAAAACAAAGAGACAATTCTGAAAGCTGCAAAAGAAAAACAACAAGTCACATATAAAGGAAAACCCATTAGGATTACAGCTGACTTTTCAGTGCA